CACGCATGACTACCACACACCCACGCATGACTACCACACACCCACGCATGACTACCACACACCCACGCATGACTACCACACACCCACGCATGACTACCACACACCCACGCATGACTACCACACACCCACGCATGACTACCACACACCCACGCATGACTACCACACACCCACGCATGACTACCACACACCCACGCATGACTACCACACACCCACGCATGACTACCACACACCCACGCATGACTACCACACACCCACGCATGACTACCACACACCCACGCATGACTACCACACACCCACGCATGACTACCACACACCCACGCATGACTACCACACACCCACGCATGACTACCACACACCCACGCATGACTACCACACACCCACGCATGACTACCACACACCCACGCATGACTACCACACACCCACGCATGACTACCACACACCCACGCATGACTACCACACACCCACGCATGACTACCACACACCCACGCATGACTACCACACACCCACGCATGACTACCACACACCCACGCATGACTACCACACACCCACGCATGACTACCACACACCCACGCATGACTACCACACACCCACGCATGACTACCACACACCCACGCATGACTACCACACACCCACGCATGACTACCACACACCCACGCATGACTACCACACACCCACGCATGACTACCACACACCCACGCATGACTACCACACACCCACGCATGACTACCACACACCCACGCATGACTACCACACACCCACGCATGACTACCACACACCCACGCATGACTACCACACACCCACGCATGACTACCACACACCCACGCATGACTACCACACACCCACGCATGACTACCACACACCCACGCATGACTACCACACACCCACGCATGACTACCACACACCCACGCATGACTACCACACACCCACGCATGACTACCACACACCCACGCATGACTACCACACACCCACGCATGACTACCACACACCCACGCATGACTACCACACACCCACGCATGACTACCACACACCCACGCATGACTACCACACACCCACGCATGACTACCACACACCCACGCATGACTACCACACACCCACGCATGACTACCACACACCCACGCATGACTACCACACACCCACGCATGACTACCACACACCCACGCATGACTACCACACACCCACGCATGACTACCACACACCCACGCATGACTACCACACACCCACGCATGACTACCACACACCCACGCATGACTACCACACACCCACGCATGACTACCACACACCCACGCATGACTACCACACACCCACGCATGACTACCACACACCCACGCATGACTACCACACACCCACGCATGACTACCACACACCCACGCATGACTACCACACACCCACGCATGACTACCACACACCCACGCATGACTACCACACACCCACGCATGACTACCACACACCCACGCATGACTACCACACACCCACGCATGACTACCACACACCCACGCATGACTACCACACACCCACGCATGACTACCACACACCCACGCATGACTACCACACACCCACGCATGACTACCACACACCCACGCATGACTACCACACACCCACGCATGACTACCACACACCCACGCATGACTACCACACACCCACGCATGACTACCACACACCCACGCATGACTACCACACACCCACGCATGACTACCACACACCCACGCATGACTACCACACACCCACGCATGACTACCACACACCCACGCATGACTACCACACACCCACGCATGACTACCACACACCCACGCATGACTACCACACACCCACGCATGACTACCACACACCCACGCATGACTACCACACACCCACGCATGACTACCACACACCCACGCATGACTACCACACACCCACGCATGACTACCACACACCCACGCATGACTACCACACACCCACGCATGACTACCACACACCCACGCATGACTACCACACACCCACGCATGACTACCACACACCCACGCATGACTACCACACACCCACGCATGACTACCACACACCCACGCATGACTACCACACACCCACGCATGACTACCACACACCCACGCATGACTACCACACACCCACGCATGACTACCACACACCCACGCATGACTACCACACACCCACGCATGACTACCACACACCCACGCATGACTACCACACACCCACGCATGACTACCACACACCCACGCATGACTACCACACACCCACGCATGACTACCACACACCCACGCATGACTACCACACACCCACGCATGACTACCACACACCCACGCATGACTACCACACACCCACGCATGACTACCACACACCCACGCATGACTACCACACACCCACGCATGACTACCACACACCCACGCATGACTACCACACACCCACGCATGACTACCACACACCCACGCATGACTACCACACACCCACGCATGACTACCACACACCCACGCATGACTACCACACACCCACGCATGACTACCACACACCCACGCATGACTACCACACACCCACGCATGACTACCACACACCCACGCATGACTACCACACACCCACGCATGACTACCACACACCCACGCATGACTACCACACACCCACGCATGACTACCACACACCCACGCATGACTACCACACACCCACGCATGACTACCACACACCCACGCATGACTACCACACACCCACGCATGACTACCACACACCCACGCATGACTACCACACACCCACGCATGACTACCACACACCCACGCATGACTACCACACACCCACGCATGACTACCACACACCCACGCATGACTACCACACACCCACGCATGACTACCACACACCCACGCATGACTACCACACACCCACGCATGACTACCACACACCCACGCATGACTACCACACACCCACGCATGACTACCACACACCCACGCATGACTACCACACACCCACGCATGACTACCACACACCCACGCATGACTACCACACACCCACGCATGACTACCACACACCCACGCATGACTACCACACACCCACGCATGACTACCACACACCCACGCATGACTACCACACACCCACGCATGACTACCACACACCCACGCATGACTACCACACACCCACGCATGACTACCACACACCCACGCATGACTACCACACACCCACGCATGACTACCACACACCCACGCATGACTACCACACACCCACGCATGACTACCACACACCCACGCATGACTACCACACACCCACGCATGACTACCACACACCCACGCATGACTACCACACACCCACGCATGACTACCACACACCCACGCATGACTACCACACACCCACGCATGACTACCACACACCCACGCATGACTACCACACACCCACGCATGACTACCACACACCCACGCATGACTACCACACACCCACGCATGACTACCACACACCCACGCATGACTACCACACACCCACGCATGACTACCACACACCCACGCATGACTACCACACACCCACGCATGACTACCACACACCCACGCATGACTACCACACACCCACGCATGACTACCACACACCCACGCATGACTACCACACACCCACGCATGACTACCACACACCCACGCATGACTACCACACACCCACGCATGACTACCACACACCCACGCATGACTACCACACACCCACGCATGACTACCACACACCCACGCATGACTACCACACACCCACGCATGACTACCACACACCCACGCATGACTACCACACACCCACGCATGACTACCACACACCCACGCATGACTACCACACACCCACGCATGACTACCACACACCCACGCATGACTACCACACACCCACGCATGACTACCACACACCCACGCATGACTACCACACACCCACGCATGACTACCACACACCCACGCATGACTACCACACACCCACGCATGACTACCACACACCCACGCATGACTACCACACACCCACGCATGACTACCACACACCCACGCATGACTACCACACACCCACGCATGACTACCACACACCCACGCATGACTACCACACACCCACGCATGACTACCACACACCCACGCATGACTACCACACACCCACGCATGACTACCACACACCCACGCATGACTACCACACACCCACGCATGACTACCACACACCCACGCATGACTACCACACACCCACGCATGACTACCACACACCCACGCATGACTACCACACACCCACGCATGACTACCACACACCCACGCATGACTACCACACACCCACGCATGACTACCACACACCCACGCATGACTACCACACACCCACGCATGACTACCACACACCCACGCATGACTACCACACACCCACGCATGACTACCACACACCCACGCATGACTACCACACACCCACGCATGACTACCACACACCCACGCATGACTACCACACACCCACGCATGACTACCACACACCCACGCATGACTACCACACACCCACGCATGACTACCACACACCCACGCATGACTACCACACACCCACGCATGACTACCACACACCCACGCATGACTACCACACACCCACGCATGACTACCACACACCCACGCATGACTACCACACACCCACGCATGACTACCACACACCCACGCATGACTACCACACACCCACGCATGACTACCACACACCCACGCATGACTACCACACACCCAGTGACTACCACACACCCACGCATGACTACCACACACCCACGCATGACTACCACACACGCTTTGTGCTCCTCAAGTGTTCAGTCAAAAATCGTTCCTCGTCACTCTGCATCCCCAATCACACTCCCACCCACCCACCCACCTGCACCCCCATATGTATTTCCACCCGCTCTGGGCAAGCAAGGGTGGCGGGCGCGGGGGGAAGAGGGAGGCACACCTGGATGGTAGAAGTTGACAATGGCAGCCTCCGGGGAGAAGGTGGCGTGCGCTTTGAGACGACTCAAAGGCTGGCGCTGCCAGGCGCGAGCGAAGCCACAGGCAGGGAAGAGGGAGGCACACCTGGATGGTAAAAGTTGACGATGGCAGCCTCCGGGGAGAAGGTGGCGTGCGCGGAGGGCATGGCAGGCGCTGCCAGGTGCGCGGCCAGGTGCGCGAGGAAAGGGGGGAAGGGGCGAAAGGGCAGCGCAGGGTCGTAGGCCCGCTGTGGAGGGGAGAAGTGCGAGGGAGGGAGTGGGAAAAACGGCGGAGTGGCGAGTGATTTGAGGGCATGGACGCATGGAGGCATGCACAGCAGGAGTGTGAGTGCTGGCAAGACGAGTGATGGCTTACTGTCGAGCTAGAGCACACATCGGGACTATGGCATGTGTGATGCATGGATGACTGAATGAAAGAATGAATGGGCAAATGAACGAATGGAACGAATCAATGGCTGAGTCACCTTGCTCCAGTCGAACTGCACGCCAAGAGTGGCCCACCGCAGCTTGCCTACCAACCACTCCGCGCTCACTCCCTTTTCACGGCCCCCACCCACTCCCTCCCCCCCCACACACCTCCCCTCGCCTCCATTCCTCTCACCCTCCTCCCCACTCTTCATCACTGCACCTGCGCCGTCACCCCTCTCTCCCTCCATTACCTCGCCCCCACTATCCCTCACTCCATCCCCACTCCCTCTCGCCTCTCCTCCCCCTCCTTTCCTCCGCCCCTTCTCCCCTCTGCCTTTCCCCCTCTCCTCCTCCTCCCCTTGCTCGTGAAACTCAAAGCAGCACGCGCCACCTGCAATACCCCGCCACCCATTCTCCCCACCCCACTCCCTCGCCTCCCCACTCACGCCCCTCTCTTCGGCACACTCAACCCCCTCCGCCTCTCCTCCTCCCACACACGGCCGCAGCACAGCACTGACACGCCTCCTGCTGCTGCTGCTGCTGCTGCTGCTGCTGCTGCTGCTATCCTCATCACCACCACCACCATCACCATCATCATCAGCACCAGCATGCTCCGTGCTGCCATGATCAGAGGCAGCAGCACAGGAGAGGGAGAAGGCAGGCCAGAGGCCGTGGATGGCACCAAAGGCAGCGGTGTGGTTGGTGCGGTTGGGCGGCTCTACGCTGTTCTGCAGGGCGTCTTGAATTAGCTGCGCCTGCTGCTGCACCGTCAGTGCTCCGGGCAGGAAGAAGAACCCTGGTGTGCGGAGTGGTGTGGTGCGGTGCGGTGTGGCGTGGTGTGGGTATGGAGGGGGAATGGAGAGGGGTTGGAGGGGATGGGACGGAGGAGAGAAGAGTGGTGATGAGAAAAAAGGAGCGGGCGAAGGCAGGCCAGAGGCCGTGGATGGCACCAAAGGCAGCGGTGTGGTTGGTGCGGTTGGGCGGCTCTACGCTGTTCTGCAGTGCCTCCCGCACCACCTGCGCCTGCTGCTGCACCGTCATTGCTCCGGGCAGGAAGAAGAACCCTGGAGTGCCGTGCGGTGTGGTGCGGTGTGGCATGGTGTGGAGTGGCGAAGGCGGTGATTGCGGAGAGAAAAGTGGTGAAGAATTGAGAGGGCGAGGAAGAAGAGAAGTGCAAGAGGAGGGTAGGCAGCTACGAGCTTGCATGGAGAGGCAACGAGGGCTTAACAAGGAGACGGCAGGTGACAGCAGGAGACATGGAAAGCACCCCAAAGCGGCAAACCATATCCCTTGCATTCACAAGTGCAGGCACGGGAGGGACAGCACTGCAGTGGCTTGCACAGCACTCACCAGGCCTGCCCTGCACGGAGTACACAGGACAGCAGTGCAGTGCAGCGGCACACTCACCCACACTCACCAGGCCTGCCCTGCACGGAGTACACAGGGCACTGCAGCCCCGCCACGCCCTCCTCTCGCACTATACTGCTCACTGCCACCGCCGCCACACAAGCCGTTTCACCAGCAGAGGCTGTAGCGGCAGCACAATCAGCAGCTGCAGGGGCAGCGGCGGCGTCCGCGAGGTGCCCCGCGAGGTGCCCCGTGGCCTGGAAGCGCTGCTCCAGCGCGCGGAAGTCCACCGCCTCCGCCAGCGCGCCCTCCGCGCTGCCGCCCTTCCCCGCGGCCGCGTCCGCGCCCTGCCTGCCGCGCGGGGACGGGGACGGGGTGGAAGGGTTGAGTGCGGTGCCGTGGGGTGGGATGGGTTGGGGAGGTCAGACAGTACATGCGTGCAAGGGAAAGCGGGGATGAGAGGGAACGGGAGAACCGTGCAGCAGCGCATGGCTCTCCGCGCATGGCTCTCCGCGCGCCTACCCGCGCTGCTGCCCGCGCCGTCGGCGGCGCTGCCCCGTGTCCTCCTTCACCAGCTTGAACCGCTTCTCCGCCACGCGGAACGCCGTCCGCCCCGCCGCGCCGGACCCCGCGCCGTCCCCCTCCCCCTCGCCCTCCCCCGCGTAGCTCATTCCGCGCGCCTGCGCCCCGCGCGGCGGAGGTTTCAGACCGGCTGGCGGAGGGGAGAGAACGAGCGGATGACGTTTCCTAAAGGAAGTGCCCGTTAAGCGTTTAACGTGCAATGTTCGAAGTTGCCCGCGTGTCAGGGGTGTATAATGGGCTTGCGACTTTTGGCACGGTTCGGCCGCAGACAAGAAAGAGGGAAGACGGAATCGGCCGGCGCGTACTGCTGCCACGTGGCACATGCGCGGTGGAAGCAGCAGGCATGCGATCGGCATTCAGCGGGGAGCAGCGGGCGAGACTGCCGCGAGAAGTTGATGGGGGTGGAGGTGCAGGGGAGGGGGAAGCAACGGCGGAGAATTTGGGGTTTGTTTGACAGGACAAGACACATTCCCCGTTGTAGCTGTCGGCAGAGCCGATTATTGGATACTAGGTATGTATTTCACCAAAACAAACAAACAAACAAAATCTCTTCCAGCCTACTCAATAAATTACTAGGTGGAGGACGGTCCTGCTGTTTTTAAAAGACCTCATACAAGCATTTTCGTGCCTTACAAAACATGATACTCAAACTTTCAGAACAATCATAAATGCTACAAAAGGGGAAAAGGAAGAGAAACTGTAAAATATTATAGCCTGTAGTGGGTTGGGCTATATGGGGTACAACTAGTTAGGGTTAGGTTATGTACCCCAATTCTGTCAATGCAACACATTCCGCTGTAGTTCTCATTCTGACATGGTATCAGCAGTAGGTTAGCGCTCCTAGCCCTAGGCCCGCCCGTCCCTACCACTAGGGTTACCACTGCGCCCCGCCAGCCCGCCAGCGCCCTACCCCACGCCCCAGCCGGCGCGCCCCTCCCCTCCCCGCCCTTAGCCAGCGCGCCCGCCAGCCAGCCAGCGTGCCAGCCAGCCAGCGCGCCAGCCAGCCAGCGCGCCAGCCAGCCAGCGCGCCAGCCAGCCAGCGCGCCAGCCAGCCAGCGCGCCAGCCAGCCAGCGCGCCAGCCAGCCAGCGCGCCTGCCAACCAGCGCGCTAGCCCGCCAGCCAGCCAGCGCGCCAGCGCACCAGCCAGCCCGCGCGCCAGCCCGCTTGCACGCCAGCCCGCCAGTGCGCCCGCCAGCGGGCGCACCAGCGAGCCCGCCAGTTCGCCTGCCAGCGCGCCCGCCAGCGAGCTCGCCAGCGCGCCCGCCAGCGAGCCCGCCAGCGCGCCCGCCAGCACGCACGCCAGCGCGCCCGCTAGCGCGCCCGCCAGCGCGCCGCGCCAGCGGGCCCCGCCAGCGCGCACGCCAGCGCGCCCCGCCAGCGCGCGCCCTGCCTAGCCGCCCGCCAGCGCGCCGCGCCCGCGCGCCACGCCAGCCAGCGCGCCGCGCCGGAGCGCGCCCCGCCAGCGCGTGCCCCGCCGCCCCGCGCCCAGCCAGAACGCGCCCCGCCTGCGCGCACCCGCCTCGCACTCACCTCCCTCTCCTCCTCCTCTCGCGGCTGGCGGCCGCTATCGCTTGTTCTCGCCCCTCATGGCGACGTCTCGCGTGCTCCGTTTCGACCCTGAGGGGCGCGCGATCGACTTTAGTACCTGGCTGACGCAGGCCCAGCGCCACCTTAGGAGCCAGCGCCAGGATGGCGTGCACCTGTTTGCGCACGCGTCCGGTGCTCTGCCCGCCCCGCCGCAGCCTACACCGCTGCCCACTACCCCACCGCCTACTTCCGAGCAGGAGGCTGAGTACCAGCGCCGGTTCCTCGCTCGTGACGTGTGGGAGTCTCGTGACGCTGCTGCCTGCCTCGCCCTGACCGACCTTCTCCCGCCGACTGAGGCCGTCCACTTCACTCAGGTCGAGTCTGCTGCAGACCTTTACACTGCTATTGTTGCTCGCTACTCCACTCCCTCCTCTGCCTCCCTCAGCCGCCTCCTCGTCCCCTTTATCTACCCTGACCTCGCCTCCTTTGAGACTGTCGCTGACCTCGCTACCCACCTGCGCTCCCTTGAAGCTCGCTTCAAGGCCGCTTGCACTGAGGAACAGCTTGCCCTTGCACCCCCCCCCATGTGGCTCACTATTCACTGGTTAGTCACTCGCCTCCCTGACCGTCTAGCCACAGCCCGCGACGCGCTTCTCCTGAAGCACCCCACTGAGCTTACTATCGATCTTCTTGAGACCGCTCTCTCGAAGATCGAGAGTAACCTCCTCGCTGTTGCCTCCGCCTCTTCCGCGCCTCCTCCTCGTCTCTTTGAGGGGTGTGCGGTACCACAGCTTCCCACCTTCACTGCCTCGCTTGCCACTGCCGCGTCTTCTGCCTCTGAGGAGACGGCGGCCGTTTCTGTCTCTGGCGGACAGAAACGTGGCAAGTCCGGCAAGAAGGGAGGGAAGGGCGGCGGGGGTTCTGGGGGTGTTGCGGGTGGCGGCGGTGGCGGTAGTACTAGTGGCGGGGGTGGCGGCGGGGGTGACTCGGGACCTGACGGCTCTCCTCTAGACGGTGGTGAGGGGTTTCCGCAGCAGCAGCAGCAGACTCCTCCGCAGCTGCCACCGCCTGGACAGCAGCAGCGGCAGGGACAGCAGTAGCAACGCCAGGGCCAGCAGCAGCGTCCGCCTCAGCAGTAGCTCCAGCAGTGGGGCACTCAGCAGCAGTGGGGCACTCAGCAGCAGTGGGGCCCTTCGCAGCAGTGGGGCCCCCCGCAGCAGTGGAGACCTACGGGCCCCCCGAGCACTGGGCGCAGTGGTGCCCCTTCTAGTCGGGGACCCCGCTCGGCCGGCCGCGACGTTGGTCCCTGTGAGTACTGGATCCTGACGGGTCCGCGCAGGGGCACGTACTGCGGCCGCCCTGACCACTCTGCTGCACGCTGCTTCAGCCGTCTCGACGACCTGTACGTCCTGCACCACGGCCCCTCCGCTCCCCCGCCACCGCGCTGGGGACCACTCCTTGCTCGTGGTGTTGCTGTGTTTGATATGTCTATGGATGATGCTAGGTCTTATGCGATGTATGCTGATGTTGACTATAGTGCTGCTGGATCTGTTTACTTGCCTGTACCTAGCGTAGGATCTTTGCCTGTTGCTAGAGTAGGTGCTGGTGTAGGATCCTGTCTAGCTACTAGTACAGGTGCTCCCTCGGCGGACGCGTCGCTCTCCTTCACACTGGACTCCGGAGCGACGCAGTGCTTCTTCCGCGACAGCACGACTCTTACTCCACTCTCGGCGCCGGTTTCTGTAGCACTGGCCGATCCCTCTTCGGGACCGGTCATTGCGACTCACGCCACTACCCTCCCGTGCCCAGCTGCCCCTTCCGGTTCTCTGACCGGCCTCCACGTTCCTACTTTCTCTAGGAACCTGGTTGGTGTGGCTCCTCTGGCGAGACAGCACGTCGGGGTCTGGTTTGAGCCTTCTGGTGACACTGCAGTCTGTGTGGACGGTGACACGTACGCCCCTCTGGCCACTTTTCGTCAGGAGCCGGGCTCTGGTCTGTACACCCTCCACACCGACACCCGTCCGGTTCCCCCGTCCCACCAGGTAGCCAGGTCCAGTCAGGTAGCTGTGCCAGGTCTAGAGGCTGCGTCGTGCTCGTGTCGGTCGCTGTCCCACCCTGTCCTCCTCTGGCACCACCGCCTTGGTCACCCGTCCCTCTCTCGTCTCCGCGCTATGTCCAGTCAGCGTCTTGTCTTAGGCCTCCCCCGCGACCTCCCGCCGCTCCCGCCGTCCCCCGCTCCTCCGTGCGGTCCTTGTGTCCAGGGTCGGCTGCGCGCCACTCCTCACTCCTCCTCCCTTCGTCCAGCCTCCGAGCCCTTTGAGACACTCCACTTAGACGTCTGGGGCCCCGCTTCCCGGCTTGGACCTGAGCGAGAGAGCTTCTTTCTAGTGGTCGTTGACGACTACTCTCGGTACACCACCGTGTTCCCTTTGGCGAAGAAGTCCGACGTGACTTCTACGCTGATCCGGTGGCTGCTCGCCACCGAGAGTACTCGTCGTCGTCGTGTCAGTTGTCTCCACTCCGACCGTGGGGGTGAGTTTCGCTCCGGCATTCTCGCCAGATTCTGTGCTGAGCAGGGCATTACCCATCACCGACCAGTCTTTGGACAGGGTCCCCTGGTGTTGCGTCGAGGTTTCGTGTCTGGGGCTGCTTGGCGCTTGTCCGCGACACCTCTGCGGACAAGCTCTCACCTCGCGGCGTCCCCTGTGTCTTCCTTGGTTTCCCTGAGGCCTCCTCTGACTTCACCTTTTACCACCCTCCCTCCCACCGGTTCTTTGACTCTCGTGACGTCAGTTTCGACGAGTCCGTCCCCTACTACGTCCGGTACCCCTGTCGAGGTCTCCCGGTTCCCCCCCCTCCCCTCTTCCTCGCCCCAGCTCCTCCTCCTCCCGCTCCCTCTCCTCCGGTACCCCCCCCGGTTCCCGCTCCGTCAGGTGTGTCACAGGCTACCCCCCCTCCCTCGGTACCCCCCCAGGTCTCTCCTCCTTCCCCACAGTCGTCCTCACAGCCTCCGCAGCAGCCGTCGGCGCTTCCTCTCCCGGCCACTGCGGACTCTGAGGGTGTTGGTGCTCGAGGTGAGGGCTCTGGCGGTGCCGGTTCTGGGGGTGTTGGAGTTGGAGCTGAGCGTGCACCTGCCGCAGCTGCACGTCCCGAGCGTGTTGGAGTCGGTGGTGGTGCTGGAGCTGGTCGTGTTTCTGGAGCTGGAGAGTCTGGGGCTGGTGCTGGTGCCACTGGGCGCACCACGACTGGGGGTGCGGGTTTGCCTTCCACAGGTGCTGGTCGTGCTGCAGCGGGGGGCACTCGCTCTGGGGGTGCTCAGCCGGGCGCTGTCGAGGGTGGAGCCGGTTCTTCGTCTTCCTCTCCTGACCTCACTCCTCCTCCTCACTCCTACCCGACTCGACACCAGGCCCGTCTTCGTCTTGAGCGTGAGGAGCAGCAGCGTTTGGAGCGTGAGAGGTTGGAGGTTCAGCAGCGGGTGGAGCGTGAGAGGTTGGAGTTGCAGCGGGAGCAGCAGCAGCAGCAGCAGCCGCCGCCGTCGCAGCAGCAGCAGCAGCAGCCGGAGCAGTCTCCGGCCCCTGTTTCTGGCCTTCGGGCCCTTGGTCTCCCCTCCTCTCCTCCTGTGTTCGGTCCTACGTTTCCTCCTCCGGACTCAGCTCCGGCTGTGTTCCCTCGTTCTCGCTCTCCCCCCTCTCCCTCTCCACTTGCCCACACTTGGGCTCCTCGTTCTCCTCGTGCTCGTCCCTCGTCCCCCGTCACTGACCTCCGTGCCGCCTTGTTTCACCCTAGCCCTCCTCGTTCTCCTCCGTCTGTTCTCCCTCGTCCTCCGGAGTCGTCCCTCACTGCCGCCCTGTCCACTCCTGTCACTGACTACTACCGCACTTACCGTCCCACTCTCTCTCGCGTTCTCGCCTCTCTTGTTACAGACCCTCGTGCCTCTCCTTCCTCTGTTGTAGTCCTCACTGCCGCTGTCACTGACTTTACTGCCACGCGTCGCCTTGACTACGCCACTCGTGTTGTGGCAGCTCCTCCTGTCCGTCCTCTGTCCGCCGGGGGTGTGTCTGCCCTTGGCTGTGACGTCCTAGAGGACAGACAGTTTGAGCTAGAGTTCCTAGCAGCCGCTTCGCCTCATCTCTGTGCCATGCTCCTTGCTCCTGAGGGTGACCCCGACGCTCCTGACATACCTACTCCTCGCACTTACGCTGAGGCAGTGTCAGGGCCTTGGGCCTCTCAGTGGCGAGCTGCCATGGACGCAGAGATGGCCTTCTACAGATCCACAGGCACTTACGTTGACGACGTTCCCCCACCAGGGGCGAACATAGTCGACGGCATGTGGATCTTCAAGGTGAAGCGGCCGTCGGGATCTCCCCCAGTCTTCAAGGCACGTTACGTGGCTAGAGGGTTTAGTCAGCGCGAGGGGGTTGACTTCTTTCAGACCTTTGCGCCCACCCCAAAGATGACCACTCTTCGGGTGTTGCTTCACGTAGCGGCGCAGAGAGACTACGAGCTACACTCCCTCGACTTCTCCACAGCGTTCCTGCAGGGCCGCCTACACGAGGAGATCTGGCTGCGTCGTCCTCCGGGCTTCACTGGCACCTTCCCGCCTGGGACCCAGTGGAGCCTCAGACGACCGGTCTACGGTCTCCGCCAGGCACCCCGCGAGTGGCACGACACTCTTCGTTCTACTCTTTCCGACCTTGGTTTTCAGCCGTCCTCCGCCGACCCGTCGCTGTTTGTTCGTCGTGGGCGCACACCTTTCTTTGTTCTGGTCTACGTTGACGACTTGGTCTTCGCCACAGCCGACACTGTTGCACTGGCGGAGGTGAAGTCCGAACTGCAGAAGAGACACACCTGCACTGACCTTGGGGAACTGCGCCGCTACCTTGGCTTGCAGATCTCCAGGGACAGAGCCGCTCGCACCATCACTCTGACTCAGTCACACATGGTGCAGCAGGTCCTTCAGCGGTTCGGGCTTCAGCACTCCTCTCCCACACCCACTCCTCTTGCTGTAGACCACAGACTCACTGGGCCTTTTCCTGACGAGCCGTTCGAGCCCAGTGGTCCCTACGCAGAGCTGGTGGGCTGCCTCATGTACCTGATGACGTGCACTCGCCCGGACCTCGCCTTCCCTCTTAGCATCCTTTCTCGCTTTGTTGCGACTGGGAGACACCGTCCTGTTCACTGGACGGCGGCTAAGAGGGTGGCGAAGTACCTGGCCACGACGTCAGACATGGGGCTTGTACTTGGAGGGACTCAGCCAGTTGTTCTCACCGGTCACTGTGACTCCTCGTACGCTGACGACGCTGAGACTCAGAGGTCTACACAGGGTTACTGTTTCAGTCTGGGTTCTGGAGCTGTTTCGTGGAGGTCTACTCGGTCCTCCTCTGTTGCGACTTCTACCGCAGAGGCCGAGATCTACGCTGGAGCCCTTGCTGCACAGGAGCTGCGCTGGTTGATCTTCTTGCTCACTGACCTTGGCGAGCGGCCGAGCTCTGCACCGACCTTGTTTGCTGACAACAAGGCGATGATTCTCCTGTGTCGTGAGCCGCGACTGGAGAGCAGAGTGAAGCACATTGACGTCAGGTACTTCCTCCTTCGAGAGTTGCAGAGACGCGGACAGGCTCGTCTGGACTTTGTGGCCTCCGAGGCCAACACTGCAGACATCTTCACCAAGGCCCTCCAGCCTTGTGACCACCGCCGGTTTTGTCTGCAGTTAGGCCTCGTTGAGACTGGGTCTAGTTGACTGCTGTAGGGTGCTCTTTGTCTGTTGCTTGCTTGTACCTTATATATATTTGTTTGCACACTTTTGGACTGGCCTTGTGGCCCTTTGCTTGTGCTCAGATTAGGTGGTGACGTTGTGATCCACCCTGAGCTTTGTTTTCTTTCTCTTGCTTTTGACTGGTCTTGTGACCGTAGGTTGCTTGTTGTTGATTGGCCTTCCCCACTTAGGCTATGGGGGTGTGTCAAATATTATAGCCTGTAGTGGGTTGGGCTATATGGGGTACAACTAGTTAGGGTTAGGTTATGTACCCCAATTCTGTCAATGCAACACATTCCGCTGTAGTTCTCATTCTGACAGAAACATGCACCCATAAAACAATACCAGAACCACTTTTGAGACATCTCAACTCAAACGACATGCACTCACAAAACAATACCAGCACCACACGGGTAACTGCGGTAACTGCCATGGCTTCGACTAGACCTGTAGGAACGGCCTGTGTCACTGGAAGTGTCACTGCCGCTGCCACTGGCCTCACTCCCGTAATAGCTGTGCGGTTTCTCATGTGGAAGGCAACCCATATTGCCATGTAAAGGGTCACTCGGGCACTTCGGGTACACAGCTGCTGCTGCGGCGGCGGCGGCAGCGGCGGCGGCGGCGGCAGTTGCTGCATCGATAGGAGCAGGCTCAGGGTGAGTCTTGTTCACTCCCGCCTTGTACAAACTGCGAAGTTGAGAGCACAGCATGTGTTGTGACGTCGCGTTAAAAAAACAAAGGAACAATAGAAAGAAAACCAGAGAGAAGGAACCAACTCGGGGGTTGGCATAGCAATCAGGGAAGATACTACCAGCTAATATCCACAAACCACAAGCGTAATAACAACTCCAGGCCCCCTGGCACTTTCAGCTAATCTCCATACCGTACCTGTCAGGGTCGGCGGCATCACCCTTCTTTCCAGGCTCTGGACCTAGTCGCACGGCCCGGTAGACATAGACGGGGATGCTAAGGGACAGCAGCATGCAGGCCACTGAGAGGATGAGGAAGCCGATCCACAGCAGCTGCAGGTCCAGCTCTATGCTCTCGCCCTGATCTATGGCATACTGGTACGCGTGCACGGGGGGAAGGTGGGAGAAGAGGGGGGACAGGAGCATGCAGGCAAGGGAGAGAATGAGGAAGCCGATCCACTGCTGCTGCAGGTCCAACTCTATGCTCTCGCCCTGACCTATGGCAAACTGGTGTTTGTGTAGGGGGGAAGGTGGGTAGTGCAAGCAAGGTGGAGGGTGAGGGGAGAAGAGGGAGGCACGAGGCACAGGAGCCACTGAGAGGCGCAGGCCACTGAGAGGCGGGGGACGGGGGATAGGCAGGGTAGTGAAAACAAGGTGGGGAGTGAGGGGAGAAGAGGAGGGCGAGCGGCCTGCAGGCAAGGGAGAGGATGAGGAAGCCTATCCACAGGTCCAGCGCTATGCTCTCGCCCTGGTCCATGGCATATTGGTGCCCCCGTGAACCTCCTGCACACATCGCTCACTCCATGCCTCTCTCCCCACGCAGACGCACAAGCAGGGAGTTGAGGACACAAAAGAACATCTCCCGAACCCCTTTCCTCTCTCCTCCTCCACCCTCTCCCTCCCTGTAACCCACATGCAGGGAGTCGAGGACGTAGGAGCAGTTGGCAGCGGCGCCCATGGCTGAGAGGGAACCGGTGAGTGCTGCCACGCCCATGCTCACTGCTGCTATGTCCTCCACCACCCCCACTGCCATGCCACTGCTCGCCGGGCCGTACAGGTTCTGATACGAGTGGGCCGCACCGCACGGAGAGGGAGGTGAAGGAGAGTGTTAGTGAGTGCATGTGAATGGGGTAGGGTGGTGCGTAGGAAATAGGAGCAGTGTGGGGAGGGGGGGGTTAGCAACAGCAGGGTAATGGCAGTCAGGAGGAAGGACAGGGATGGCACACAAGCCAAGAGGTACAAGCAGTGCGCTCAGAGGTTTCTTGAGGCGAGTTTGAATGAGAAGCACATGGGTAGAATAGGAGCTGAAGTTAATGAGAGTGCGATTGGATGGGAAAGAGAGAGTCGAGAGGGTAGCGGGAGAGGACGAGTGCGGAAGGGGGAGTAAAAGAGAATGCGTCGGAGTGGGGAGAGCGGGCATGGGCTTACAGCAGCAAAGCTCTGCAGGCTAATGGCGTTGGCAGGGCACGTGGTGGGGGTGTAGTTTGGCGCAGGGAAGTACGGCACGCACACAGAGCTGTAGGGCCCTCCTGGCATCTGCTGCAGCACTTGGTGGGATGGGCAGCGAGGAAACCATGGGGAAAGGGTGCAGCGTGGGTAGCATAGCATGTGGTGAGGGTAGTGTGGGAAGGCGCAGGTGCGTACGGCACACACACAGCGCTCTAGGGCCCTCCTGGCATCTGCTGCAGCACCTGGTGGGCAGCGAACGAGTCATGGGAACAGCACGTGGGTGGCGTGTGGGTAGCAGCACGCGGGGAAAGCAGCGTGGTCAGAACGCATCGCAATAGCAGACTCACACACACATACTAGCCCAGACCCTCCCACACGGTTCCCCCAGGCACTCTCCCCCTCTCTCCCTGCAAGCAATACAATACCTGGGGGTAGCTGCCGGCAACGGTGGAGTTGACAAGGCTGGTGGCCTGCGCGCTCGCAGCGAGGATGCTGAGGCGCACAGAGGCGAGGCTGCGCTGAGCAGAGCAGGGCAGCGCGCCCAGGATGTTTTGCTGGAGAGATGTGCTGTGGAGTATCTGGTTTGCTGCCACTGCTGTGTCGCCCTCCACCCTGGAGAGAGAGGGTAGGACGGTTGGAGAGAGGAGAGGAGGGAGTGGAGTGAGAGAGCAGAGCAGAGCATGGGAGGGAGAGAGGGGCATGGGAGGGAGAGAGGAGCATGGGAGGGAGAGAGGAGCATGGGATGGAGAGAGGAGCATGGGTTGATGAAGAAGAGTGATGTGTGGAGCATGGAAGAAACACACACACACACGCATGCACACATATACATGCAGCGATGGGCGCACTGAGAGGAGAGTGAATGCACACAAGGCAAGGCACTGACATGGCAAAGAGGAGGAAGAGCGAGGTGAGGCACCAGGTGACGACTGCCACGACCCACATGATGGTGATGATGCTGGGAGGGAGCAAGAATGGGGAGGAGGGGAGGAGACTTTTGAGTCGACTCGAAAGAGCGAGGTGAGGCACCAGGTGACGACTGCCACGACCCACATGATGGTGATGATGCTGCAAGGGCGAGTGGGGAGGGAGGGAAGGGAGAGAGACAGGGTTAGTGGGAGATGTAGAGAGATGAAAAGGGAGGAACGGAGAGGGAAGACGTGCGAGTGTGCATTTGTGCGTGCGCATGTGTGTGTGTGTGTGCGTTTGCACATATGTTCATACGTGCATGCTTACAAATGTGCGTCTGCAGGTGTGCATGTGTGCAAGCACACATCCATGCTTACATGTTAGACATGATAACCAGCTTGAACAACGCAAGCACTGCAGGAAGGCACGGCGGGGAGCAGGGAGACAGAAGGGCGAGTTTGGAGTTTTTATGCAGTACCAGGAACAGAGCGCATCGGGGAAACCGGACAGCGGTTGAGACGGTGGGTTGGATGAGGGAAGAAAACAGGCATGGACGTTGAGAGAGAGGAAGCAGGGCACCGAGGAAAAGGTGCAGCAAGAGTTGGAATGGAGAGAAGCGGAAAGGGGGAGAGGAGGATGGAATGGAGGGAACGGTTGAGGCAAACAGCAGGCGGGGGATGTAAGCGCAATGGTCAACGGCTCAATTCAAGTGAAAGCGGATTACAATTGCGAGAGTGGTACAACACGTGGGTGGGTGGGTGTGACGGGCGGGCAAGGGAGCACTCACCGACGCCAAGAGCGCCCAGCGCCGTGATGACAGCTCCCATGGCGAACATGGTCATGAACCTGTGGCACGGCCGCATGGCGCAGGGGGCATGAGGCGATAGGGACGTGGGGCAAGGGGGCCATGGGGCGCGGGGGACACGGGGGGTGGGGTGAGAGGAGGCAGAGTGGGCGCGGTTGGCGAAAAGGTGCATGGGAGCTGTGTGGGCACTGGGTAGCCCATCCATGGCTGGTTCATGCCATGCCATGGCGCCCCACGGCCACACGGCCACACAACAACCCCCCCCAACCCTTCACTCCCCCCCATCCTCCGCCCAATCCCGCTGTGCACGTGAGTGGGTGTGTGTGTGTGCGGCACAGACATGTATTTGAAGGCGCGGTCTGCCGTGTCGCGCGCGCCGTTGAACGAGCTCTGCATGCCGCCCGCTATCGACCACGCCTCCTGCGCACGCTGTAGCACGCCCGCCCTGTCTGTGGGAGGGGGATTATATGGGGGGAGGACGGAGAGGGAGGAGAGAGGAGGGCAGGAGGAAGGAGGGAGGAGGGAGGAGAGAGGAGGGAGGGAGAGAAGAGTAGATGGGCCTGAGCGCGATGATGAAAGGAGGAGGGAACACATTGAAAAACGAACGCATTGGGCCTCCACCTTTCTTGCTGCATTCTTCTGAGCAGCTGCCACACCAATACCTATCATCTACCTCAACCCTCTCTCCGCACTTGCCAGCAGCACCACACACAATTCTGCACAGCTCCGCACACCTGCCACCACTTGACACCGCACAGCACACTTTGCACCTCTCTACACCACACCGCACAGAGCACAGGCACCCGGGTCACGTACCAGGCATCTGGTTACCACCGACGTCCACCTCTGTAAGCCCTGCCATGGCCTGGGACACGTTGTAAACCGTGTTCACCACTGCTCCCACTCGCTCCACTGCTCCGTCCCTCACCACCCCCACGCTCTTCTGTAGCAGTATGGCTCCCGCCAGCATCACTGCGAACCCGACCCTGCAGCGCCCGCGGGGATACAGAGAGGTGGAGAGGGGTGGGGTGTGGGTACGGGGAGCGGTGAGGGGAGAGGCGCAAGGCGCAACAGCTGCTTGTGCAGCGGCGAAAGCAATAAGCCAGCAGCGGTGAAAATCCCAACCCAAGGCGCATGCAACGCTCTTCTGCGTGGCCTCCATTGCATACTAGTGCGCACTCACAGCAGCAGCAGGGAGCCGATGGCAAGGCCGATGCGTTTTCCGAGACGCCGCAAAAGTTGCAACGCTGTGCTTCTTGGCCTGCGTTGCATGGTGCATGGTGCATGGTGCATGGTGCATGGTGCATGGTGCATGGTGCATGGTGCATGGTGCATGGTGCATGGTGCATGGTGCATGGTGCGCACTCACAGCAGCAGCAGGGAGCCGATGGCAAGGCCGATAAAGGGAAGGGCGAGGTGCGCGCGCGAGTAGGGGCGGCGGGTGAGGTCTCTGATGCGCGCCCAGTGGCGCGGGCAGCAGCAGCAGCAGCAGCAGCCGCCTATGAAGCCCAACCCTAGCAGCAGCCATAGCAGCGCTATCACTGGCCCAAACCCCGCTGTCACTCCCACGGACTGAAGGAGGAAGGGGGGGGGAGGGGGAGGGGGAGGGGGAGGGGGAGGGGGAAGTGGAAGGGGAAGGGAGGAGCGGGATGAGCGGAAAGGGAAGTGGGGAGGAAAGAGTGGGTAGGGAGGGGAGGTTGGGAGGAGGGGGAGGAAAGCGAGGAGACGAGGGGTCTTTACGCAAGAAGAGATGCTACCAAACAAGCTGGGCTGGTTTCCCAATACAGCACAGGGTGACGTGCGACTGAGAGCAGTACAGCCGCCAGCAGCGGCATGCCATGCCATCATGCCTTCGTTTTGGCTTCAGGGGCTGGAGGAAGGGAAAACGAATTTTGCCAACGCCAGGCTCGTGAGCCGCTGAGGAAATGATAACTTGATAGGCGCGTGTGGTGTGTTGCGGTGTGGTGCGGTGTGGAGCGGTGAGTGGTGAGGCGGGTGAAAGGCGTGGCAAGGGGACGCACGGCCCAGTAGTGCAGGTTGGCGGGGTCGTAGCCGCCCTCGTACGGGCGCATCCCGTTCAGCGGGTCCCTGCGACGCGTGCGATTCGTCGCCAGCGCGTACTGCCCCAGCGACAGATTCCACCCGGCGATTTTGCCAGCCAGTCGCCTGCGACGTCGCAGCGCGTCCAGCGACTCGTCGCGACGGAAATCGCCGCGGCTCGAAGTAGCGCGACTGGTTGTCGCAACAGCAGCAGCTCCGCAAGGCGCGGCTTGCGCGGCGGTGAGGGGGGCGGGAGTATCCGCATGGGCGGCGGAGGGGAGGCGGAGTCGGAGGCTCCGCCGGAGGCGCGGCGACGCGGAAGGCCGTTCGGGCGGATTCGAAGCGGAAAAAGGAGGCGGAGCGGAGCAAGCTCCGGAGATTGCGGCGACGGCGATCAAGACCGCGAGGGCGATGCTGCGGCTGAGGGGAAAGGCCGCCGGGCTTGCAACTGCCGCCTTTCCTAAGGCTGAACGGATGCGGAGGTGGGCCGTCATCCCGATATGTCCTTTCTTGCTATGCTAGTATCGGCGTGCGACGCCTCTGCGACTCCGATGAAACGCTGGCGACTGCTAGTGTCGCTCGCCAAGTCGCTCGGCACGGAGCCAAAAGATTGGGTGCGTCACTCAGCCTTCGCGACGGCCAGAGTGTGCAATCACTCTCGGAAACCCTAATCTTGAAACGTCTAAAACGGCGATTCGGGAAACTCGTTCGTTCGGACCGGAGGGAGGGATTCTCGCATTCGTAGACTTGTAATACGCGTTGGCCACAATCGTAGCGCGATGGAATGGCTTGGTGACTTGAAGATGAAAGCGAACTCGCAAAAACGGATTCGACGGCCAGCTCCCGCTTTCTTATACCTCTTGTGAGCTCAACGATAGCGTTCTGTAAGTAGGCTCTCTCCAATCTACCAACAGGCATGGCGGCTCTCTTGCAGGTTAACCCTCCTGTCGCCATTCGCATCGCAGCGCTGCAGCAGAGTCGCCAAGACGAGCGACGGCGAGGGAATGCAGGCGACGCCGTGCCGTGAGTGGCTGGCGGTGGCGCTGGCGGTGATTCACATCACATCACATCAGCAGCAGCACTCGCGCAGGGCATGGCGCATGATCCGCTGGGCGCGGAGCGGGACGCGAGGGAAATTGAAGTCTTTGCCGGGCTCGCGCTGGTGCGTGCTGGTCGTCGTTGTCTTCTTGGACAGCCATGGCTGGTCGAGAGGGTAAAGCATGTCGTGATTCGTGAAGCATGCTGCGACAGCATGGAAAGGACAGCAGGGTGTGAAGCGAGCCTATGGAGGAGCGAGCGGGTGTCCCGCTGGCAAGGAAACCAGCGGGGCAGCGCGGATGCGCCCGCCCCCGCCCGGCGTCCCACCCAGCCGCTCGGCCGTGTGCGACCTCAACGCCTTGTGCGCAAAGCAGCGGGGGGAAGCTTGTGGCGGGGAAGGGGTGGTGGGAGGGGGGGGGCCAGTGGGGGGGCGGAAGGGAACGTTGGCGCAGCTCCTTACAACCAATCTATATTTGGCGGCTTCAACACAGTCAACGCAAATCTATCATCTATATAATCAGAATAATCAGAGGACCCGCTATCACTTTCTCCATCTCTGCTAGGGCAGTGCGGGCGGTCTATAGGCGTGGCGGCAAAGGAGTGGGAGCGTCGCAAAACGGGGGATTACGCGCCTCTTCTTGCACGGAACCGAGGCGTGCAGTTCACCCCTTTGATAGTGGAGACGTGGGGGTGTCTCGGCGGTCGCTTCCGGCGGTGGCTTCGACAGCAGGGGGACGCGCACGTGGGGCTAGCTGTGTCACGGGGGGCTTGTCGGGAGGATGACACTTCGTTCTCGGCTTACCTTTTGGGGTCTCTGAAGGCGCTCATCGGAGTGGCGTTACAACGGGCGCAAGCTCGTGTCATCCTGCTTCGGGCGGCGTCTTCCATGGGGGGGTTGAATGTGGACTTGGTGGATCGGGAGAGGGACGATGTCGAGGTGGAGGGCGGGCCTCTTTGGGTGGAGGCCCCCTACATGGTGGATGTGCAGATGTGACTTGGGGGGGGGGGGGGGGGGGAGGGGGAATGGGGTGGGGTGCGAGGTGGGACGTCTGGTAGGGGATCCTGGTTGGGTTTTTTCTTTATGGAGTATTTTTATGGGGCTTTTTATGGGTGTTGCGTTTGAGTTGTTTCTGGTGTCTTTCTTTCCCTTTTCCTTCTCCCTCTTTCCCTTTTCCTCTTTCTATCCATAAGTACTGTACAACTGATCTACCTTACTCATCGAAAGAAGTGAATAAAACAGAAGCACAGTTTCGCGATATAGTGTTAGTCTATTCTGGTTGCTTTCTGTATACAGTCACTAAAAATAATTACAGCACTTGAAAAAAAAAATCAGAAGACAAGCATTTACCTACTTGAATGATACTATCAAGTACTAAACTAGTATGCAAGAGTGATTTTTGGATAGTTAGTGGGACAACTAAATGGAATGCAAGGGAAGCCATGTAGCATGAAGAAAAAATCTGCAAATCTCAACGAGGTTAGATGATTGTACCAATGCTGATGTCAGTCAGCTTATCAACTGTAAAATACC